TTGATTAATTGAATTATTGAATAATGTATACAATTATTCATATTGATTAGTTGAATTGAATTTTTGTTTATTAAATAATTTGTATGATTATTAGTATTGATTAATTGAATTGTTGGATTGATTAGTTACTAGTCATATCACTATAGTCTAAGAGTCTAAGAGTTTATTTTTTTTTCCATGACACAGTTAAGTAATGCAACGATACTATAAAAAAAAAACAATGCTTAAAATCTTCCTTCAAATATTCCAGGTAGTTCACAACAAGGTGAGGCTATTGAGTTGGATGAATTATTGGCTAATTTTCCTACAGACCTTGGACATAGACGTCAAATACTTGCTTATCCACATAATTATCGCAAAGCAATTCGTAGACACTCTTCAAAATGATTATTGTCAACCAAAAGACCACCTCATTGCCAAAAAAAGCTAGCAACAATAGATGTTTTATTACGGTCGGGATCGATGGTTAAATGATAGCATGATTGTTTACATTGAGATACATGTATGTGCTTTATTGACAATAATCTATTATGCATGTTTTCATGACATGAAATCTCACCAACAACCATTGTAATTTTTTTATGTTCGCCCCTCTTCTCGGCAATTCTTGGCTTCGCCACTGCTCATGTCCCCAACTCACCACATGATAATCGTCCATTAGATGAGTATGGCACTTTTTAAATATGAGGTAAGCGTTTATTGAACGACGACACCGCTCAAACTAAAACTTAATTGAGTGAGAGAATTTCTCCTAATTGTTTCTACTAGACCAACATATTTTCCTATAAAACCGGTAAATTCTTCTTCTATGGAAAGAAGCTGTCAATATTTCATGCTCTTGCTATGGTTAAACGATGTTATATGATAGGTAGTACAACCCAATGTCAAATCCGTATGAACTAATTAATCATTGGTGGTGACTCTGTTTAATGTCAACGAAGGATTGGTAATTATTTGTGGACAAACTCACCTTAACATTCGGTTACTCGGCTCATGTGAACCAATCACCAATTGTCTACGGTTTATGTATTGACGGATTTTGAATGTTCAAAAGTTGAGACCAAGAATTACCCAGCTAAAGTTTGTTCTCGGACAGCAAAATTTGTGGCCCATAGCCCAACAGAGTATGGTTCACTATAGGTTGTGTATTATGAACCCTAAATTTTAACCAAACTTTTAAAGCCCAATATTCTGCACAATGAATTCCCCGGTCGCTATAGAGATCCTTAAACCCTGCGTACCATTTTAAAACCTAGTCCTACAGTCCTAGTGAACATAAAACAAATATATTGGACATTACCGGTAGAATTTGGAATGTGCTCGATTAATTGTGAGACCATTTACAAGCAAAAATTGTATTTGGGAATTTCTGATTGTATTTGAGGTACAGAAATAGTTGGCTAATACGACACTTAAGCATAACATATTTTTAGATAAACAACCAAAAAGAATGGAAAAACAAGAAAATACGAGGGTGAGTTGAAAAATGATTTAAGTGTTAACTACATTGCAAAAGATGTAGAATTCGTACAGAGGAAAAACCAAAACCTTTGCTCACTCCATTATCATCACATAAAACTACAACTTTAGCCGTTGGTGAAGCGATGATGAAAGACACAAGTACAATCCAGAAATCAAAAAAACAAATGAATTCTTCTAGGCAGCAAGAGAATGACACTCTTGACACAAATGCTAAGGCAACAAGAGAATGACACTCTTGAAAAATTCTAAGGCAACAAGAGAATGATACTCTTGACTCAAATGCTAAGGCAACAAGAGAATGACACTCTTGACAAATTCTAAAGCAACAAGAGAATAATACTCTTGACAAATTCTATGGAATCAAAAAAAGAATGATACTTTCTTATCCATCAAGAAAGAATGACACTTTCTTGAAATCTTGTAATCCAACAAAAAATCACTAAATGAAACAGTAGTTTATGTCAGACAATTCATCCAAAAACAACAAAATAAAACCCCCATTTTCAATATAAACTCATATCGGCAAGATCACTCCACACCAAAGAATAGAACACGAATCATATGTCTTCACCAACTTGACAAAACAACTTGAGCTGTACATTTCTTCAAACATGTATACCATTAAAAGAGAGAGAGAGAGAGAGAGAGAGAGAGAGAGAGAGAGAAAGAGAGAGAGAGAGAGAGAGAGATTCATTTGTGCAAGTCAATCTTCAGCCCAACAATGCCATTTGTGTATTTCAGGTTGTGACCAACGCTTTCTGTATACCATAAGTAACTTCACCAGCAGGTCATCAAGAATCACCCAATTGAAAGTAAAATCCATAAACCATCAACAAAATACTTATTCTGACAATACTGAATCCCAATATTAGAAAAATAACATGAAACTCATAAAAGATCATCGAAAATGATATGATTTCATGCCTTAAATTGGATGAAAAGGATTAAACCCAATTTTCAAAAGTGAAAGAACGACTGAGAAAGGATAGTAGAACCTTAAACACTTGCATCCAAGATATGAAGTTGCATTGTTCTGACATTCAATTTCATTGAATCATAAGATCGAACACGTGATATGCAGGAACCCATTAGCCAACAACCTTCAGAAACAAAGAGATAACTGCCAAGAAGCACATGGCCAAGGAGATCGCCGCCAAGATAGATGTTACTGCGACGACTGCGACAGCGGGAAGGCCGGGATAACTAACTGCACCGGCCAAGATAAGGAGGACACACGAAGATGGAGTGCCCACACAATAAGATTACGGTGCCAGACGTGAAGTCGATCAAAATTTAGCACGCAGTTACATAAAACTGAGCTAGAATGGACCCGATTCAAGAACCGAGAAGTTCCCACTTCTAATTTGGCCCAAAGGATCAAGATTCAAGCTTACAGACGAAGCAAAATTTTCCACAATTCAAAGACCAAGATATCATATCATCGATGATCTCTGATCACAACCCAGAACAAAAATTTACCCAGAAATTGCAGAACAAATTGAACAATTACGGAAGCACCAAAGAAATTAACGAAATCTCAAACAAAAAATTAGAAAAGAAGTAAAACTAGAAATAGACGAAATGAATGAGAAGTGGAACCACCAGAATCCATGGCGTGAGCCTGGTGGCTCTGATACCATGTTAACTACATTGCAAAAGATGAAGAATTCGCATAGAGGAAGAGGAAGATGATAGAGAGAAACAAAAGAGATTGTATTGATTGATTGGAGACTATGTATACAACTGAACTTAAGGAAATGATAGCTATACAATCTCTTATATAGCCATATAACCTAATTACAATAATATCCTTCTAACTATATTTCTGTTATATCAGTTATTATTAAGTAGACTCGAATAGAAAATAGACTAATACACAAGAAGGCTTCTTGAGAACTAACCATCATTGGCTTCAGTCTTACGGAGTACTAAGGTCACATTAGAGTTCTCCAAGAATAGAAGAAAGGTGTGGTAGCTTGCTTGTTTAGTGCTCGCGCTTGGAAAAATGTAAATTTGGGGTGAAAACTTGTATGCAGTAATCATGTTCCTAAAGAAAAACTTTTTAAGTGTAGATTCACACTTTATGCGATGTTTTGTTCACGTGTTATAATGATATGAATAAACGACAAAATTATGCGTCACAGGTATATATAGTTAAAAAAAGTGATAATATAAGGGAATCGCTATTACATGACGTGGTAGTGACACTAAATACTTTCTCGTTTGTGAAGGGTACATTGTAGTGCATATTGTCCAAGTTGTCAATGAACTCTTACCTTATTACTATAAGCATTCAATTGGCCCCCCAAGAAGCTAGATGAACATGCATACGTACATACTTCTTCGAGGGTTTCATAGAATTGACATCTGCCCGATCGGCTCACCTACAATGTAATGTATACCTGAATGTTTGTTCCCTCTCCATACTCAAGGCCTAACTTGATTAAAACAACTCACATGACCATGTATTATAAACATCAAAACCCTACGAACATCGAAAAGGAAAAAGAAAGAAAAAGAAAATCTTGTACCTATTTGGTTCTGCAATTTCCATTTTCATGATACTTTGATCACCTAGCTAACGCCAAGAAGGGAATCGTTTTCTAAGAAAAAACTACTACTGCATATCTATGTGCATATATATATATATATATATATATATATATATAGAACATGGTTTTAATGATTCTAATTAATCCAACTTCTTCATAACGTTCTTTTGAATACTTGTAATCGAACTTGCATATGAGCGTCGTGGAGCGTTCTATAACGTTCTTTCTTGGTTTTCTTGGGATAATCAACAACTTGGCCTACCAAAGAAGATTATATTAGTGGGAGATTTAGGTTAAGGACCTACCAAAAGAGATATTAGTGGGATAATCAACAAGTTAATCACCTTTCAACTACGTTGCTAATTAAAGAAATTCCCACCATTATAACAACCAACACGATTAGATATGTGGGCCTTCAATCCTAAATACAAAGCAATCTAAACATTTATAGACTAATTGAATTAGATTAATTTCTAGCAATATATGAATTTTTTCTTTAAATATATTAGAGACAGAAGGAGGAATAATTGCAGAACTTACCATTAAGATCAGTCAGTACCACTCATAAATTGATGCTTTACATATGCCACATATATGCACTTATCAAGCACAGGAATTAAGAGGATCAAACATCATAGGTACATAATTAATTAAAAGAAGTAAATACAAGAGAAGAAGTTTATTTTTTACTATGAGAAATTCAATTAACTAGCTAGGTTACATGAACTAATTACCTCAAGTAACCTAGGCGAGCTAATAATTTGTCTCGCTCTTTCATATATACATGCCCTTTTTTGTAACAATAAACTAAAGGTTAGCTCAAGTGGTGTCACGTATTCCAATCAAGATTGTCATGAAACTCTTAATTAATTTTCTTTGAGAGATATGAACTAATTTCACATACCTTTTTTTTCGCTGCTTCATCACCATGTAATGCACATACACCATATAACTGCTAGCCGTTGCTTTCTTTTAATCTGCAAACACTTAAATTAATTTGGAAAATACAACATACCCTTTTCACCTTCCATCCATACATATACAATAGACTGTCCAGCCATATATTTCTATCATCTCTCAACCCAGAAATAACTAAAACGGCAATATCTCTCAAACCACACACTTAATAATAATAATTACATATACATAATTTAGCTGCTTAATTATTTTAATTAGGCACCATTTGAAGAAGGCGAAGAGCACTCGCAGACAGTCTCGACTTCTCGTCTGTGGAAGTTCCTGTGGCAGCCACAAGCAGCACAGGTGAGTGCAGCAGTTGTTCCCTCCTCTCCGTTGCTTGCCATGAACTCTCTGCATCCGTCAACAGCGTAGCCTCCGACCGCAGCAGCATGGTTCTTCTGGCACTCTCCGTATCTCACGACGGTGAAAGATGATGCTGAAGCTTGTTCTGTTCTTCTCAAAACTACTTGCCGCTTCCTCATTTAAGTTTCTGATTAATTCGTCCCTGTTTCAGATCTTGATTAATTATTGCGTTTCTTGATTTCCCCAAACCCCCTTGAAACTATGCTGAAATTTCCTCACTGGTTTTTTGACTCAGAATCAAAAGATGGCAAATTAGAGGTTGGTGGAGGTGAGTTAGAGAGTGGGAAAGAGAGAGAGAGAGAGAGAAAGAGAGGAAACAAGAGCTTATATTATGGTTATGTCGTGGTAATGACCAAGCCCTAACCCTAGATATATATTTATAGCATATTAGCACGCAATATTCTCTCTTTCTTCTTGCTTTAGTAGTCTTAACTATTGGTAAGCACATTAATCAACCTGTTTTTGTTTAATTATAAATTGTTTTACTGATATATACTAAATATCATTAGAAGAAAAGCTAGTCGGTAATTTTTTTTTTTTATCTTTCTATTGAAAGGAATTGGGGGGCAATAATCCATGACCACCTTTTTACTATATAACTATTAATGTTTTAATCTCATTGTTTACTAGCTAGTTAGTTGTAACCCAAAAATGGTCGTTGTGAACTGATGGTCCAACAACCTCACAACTCACTAGCATAAAATTAAAGAAAAATAAAATAGAATTATGGAAACTAATGTGTGTAAATAAGGCAAAACCTTAGATGCTAAATATGTTGAGAAAGCTTTTTCTATCAACCATAACTGCGATTGGTTTAATATAGAATGACCAGCTAAGCAGAAATTAAGACCTCATAAACCATAATTATACATGTACAGTGTGGACCCTTAAGTGGTACTAAAAGGATTGTTTTGTGGGGTTCATTGATACGATGCCAATAAAAATTGTCTAGCTTAGCTTCCTCAACGACCTAAAAAAGTCTAGTTTCACCACCCCAGAACTCGATGGAAAATGATATCTCACCTTGCCAACCCTGTACGGAAAATAAAATTGCAAATGCTACAATTATAACTCTCTTCTTGTTACTTAGCTTGCATTGCACAAGGTAATAATTCAATTTCATAATTTATATATGCAGAATAAATAAACAAAAATAGAAGTTTGATCTTTACCCAAAAAAAAAAAAAAAAGAAGTTTGATGGTTAATGTTTACGGAAACAGAGAAGACAATAGTTGGTGCCATGCAATATATCGATGATGGTTTTCCCAAAATTATATGTCACGGATTCATCCAATCTCAAACACACACAGATAAACAAAGTGCACACTGTTGGCTTTTGATTAATTACAAAAACAAATGATGATTCCATTCCTATTTATATCGATATGATACTCTTTGCCTGTGTAATTATAAACTAACACGAGCAAACATTACATAACCTACATCACTTCATATGCTTTTTATACGTGATTTTCTTTTATTTTGTGCCAATTGTACCCGACAAATTACACTAAACAAAATGAATTCATGTGCTCTATAGAGCTGATTTGCACATCCATGCTTGTGAGACGAATTTTTATTATTAAAGAAACTCCCTAACATGTTAACAGCGACGGACATGTGGTTAGGTAATGCTGGTATCTGATATCAATGGAGGACTATGCCAACTTTTTGCCATTTTTGTTCATTACGTGGCTCGTAGTTTGATCCACATGCATGCATGCATCTTTGCGTTTTTGCCACAATATAACTACATATCAAGTCTGCCGAACATCTGGAATCTCCCATGTCCTTGACGACACAAGGAGGTCTAGGATGACAATGTCCGTGAGGGGAAATTTAACAGTTGAAACCTTCATATACTAATTTAATTGTGTATCTGCTGAGAAGTGATGTGGAACGTACGTCTGTTGTGACTGAAATTCACAAAGCTACCTATAATAGGAAAAAAAATGGATATCATGCATTCAAAGCGTTTGGATGGTTTTGGATTTTACGTTGTGTTTGATTTTGAGTGACCTAATTCTCAAAACTTGGGAGTCAGTTATTCAACACTAATTACATCTTAAGACTAGCCAGCCTTGTAATTAATATTGTGACATAATGACATTTTACACGCATACCGTTATGGATAATGCTTGCATTCTCCCTTTATTAGGGGGAGATCTCATTTTCTTATTTACAAATAATGTATCTTCATCGTAAAATTTTCATAACCAGAATCGTTCAAGATCATCCCTACAAAATTGAATCCGAGATCCTTTAATCATCTCACTATGTCAAATAAATCAATGGCTCATTATAAATATACTACTTGGCAGCAAATTAAACTACTATGAGGCTGAAATATGTGCCTATTTGCACTTATTTATTAACAGCAACGCTTATTTTAGTTGCAATTTTAATATCTGGCCGTCCTAACTATTAGGTGCGCAAAACCCAGTCTCTTCCTCCCATTAAGCTCACGTGTAATTAGACTAAATAAGTCCCTTTGTTTAATTCTTAAAAATAGGAGGCTGGTCATCTTTTATTGTTTTCTTAGGCTAACCCCGCTACTTGCGAAAATGCTCACTGGATTGCTTTTTCTTTCTTTTGGGAAGGTTTGTATCCTTTTATTTATATTTATTAGCATATGGGCACATACAAAGTGTGTAAGAAAAATTTTTATTTTTATTTTTGAAATAGAAGTAGAGAGGAAGAGAGTGATAGAAAATGTGGGAGTGAGAAGTTTTTTTTTTAATTAATTAGAGATATGTTAAGATAACATGTAGGTGAGATTTTGAAACAAAAAAACAAAATTTGGTTGTGTAAAATTACATTTATACCCTATATTTTTTATTCATATTCTGTTTTAATTAGAAAGTTAGACTGGTAATTTCATAGAATTTTAATTAATAATAAGTATTTTAGTAAGTAGTAGAGATTAAGTTGGTATTACTTTGTTGTGGCTTCTCAGGGTTTCTAAGGATCCTCGGTGGTCCCTACCAACCCCGCCCTCCTACTGGACCACTTTTTAAGGCTCCCTTTCCAAGACCCGTGCGAGACAGCATCGAAAATCCAATGTTTTATTAACCTCAAGTCGGCAAATCCTCAAATTTTGCCCCTATTTGTAATTCATTGGTGCAAATATATTAGTCTCTACTTGTTCATAGTTTTGTAGTGTGATTTATTTGATATATGAAGATGATTAAATGATCTTTGATTCAAATAATTTTTTGTAGAAATGATTTCGAAGTGAATATCGAACAATTCCGATCATGAAAATTCTACCGTAGACATACGTTATTCATAAATGGGAAAATGAGCTAATCCTCTAAGGAGTAATTTAAAGGTAGTTAATTCTTAAGTAAACTTAGGTTATCAAATTTTTGACGGGTAAAAGGCCAAGATTTTTTGTCGTACCGGCGCCAAAGATGACATAAAAAGGGGCTAGGGACGAGTATTCCACAAAATGTATATCTTATCCGTAAATTGTACTGAACTATTGCTTATATGAATATACGATAATAAGAATACATATTTCAACTTTAAGAAAGTATTACTTAAAGTACTCAATTGCCCTAACCGTTGTCACAAAGATTTTGCCACTGAGATCAGTTTGACTAAATATATTCATGATCAAAACGGAACAGAATATATAATGTCTTGTAATACTCTTTCTTTAGCTTGCCACTTCTCTCTTTGGTACTTGATTTGATCATGAGAAATATAGAGAGAGATATGCCTATATAACAAGGATAAATATTTTGTAGATTGATGGGGGCTTTTTAAAAATAAAATAAAATAAATAAATATATATATGATTGTGCTTCAAGAAGTTAGCGAAAGAAGAAGCCTTTTGCCTCTCACCAACCCAACCCAAATTTTTGATGCCCATAGGAAAAGCCCTAGTGTGATTGTGCCTTTTGGGTCCTTAGGATAAAAGCATCTTAGGCACCTAAGTAATCACGTATTTCCTTTTTATCACAGTATAACGTACTCACGTCAAGGGTGACAACAGCTCACTAATCCAGTTGATCAATAATACAAACTAAAATGGAAATTTTTAAACAAAAGTTGGTGTTGATTGATGCAAACTTGACCTAAAGTTCTTTCCCTCTGCAACTAAGTTATGGTTCACAGCTGCTGGTATACGATGCACTTGTCAATTAACCTCCTCAATCCCAACGAAATTTCCATTTCAAAAGAGGAAGATGCCTCGTGAGCTTGGACCACAGAATACGTAGAGTTTTTGTCTATATTAACCAAATATGATTTATTTGAATCTTTTACAGTTTTAATTTTCGAGTCACAATTCTTTTACAGTTTTAGTGATTCCCTTTCGTTTCCCACTGAGTTCCACTTAGTCAATCTTGGGTTAATTTTTTTCTGTCTAATTCATTAGAGGATTCAGCATACCCTTTTTTGGTTGAATTCAGGCATGCCTAAAGTATAAAAGTCTACCAAATGAAAAACTAGTTAGTATATATGGTAATAATCTCAACGTTTCCGATGAGCTAATATTGCCTAGTTCATGTCCTACATCATCCTACTCCGATGAGTTAATATCGCCTGATTCTTATTAATTTAGTATGGAATAAGATATCCTACATGGAATATGCATGCAATGTGCTGATGGCCTTAATCATTCAAGTAAGATTTGGTTGGTGTAAATATCTGACTCAGTGTCGTTGAAAGAAAGGGAAATAATTAATAGCTGGTATCTGTCGAATAGCAAGAACACTGAATCTTTAATTATCTAAGGACCAGTGCCTAATCCTTCATCTGTATATATTAGGTCAGAAAAATTGATAATTAGGAATAGAACTTAGGGGCATGTCAAAATAGAAAACGTGGCCACTGAAACGACAATGAATTATAGATCCTATAACTTTCTTGTCAATTGTCATGATGGAAAATGATATTAAGTGGGAATCATTAAGTTGATGTGAAAATTTTTCTGTTTTTTTTTGTTCATATATGAAAGAGAAAAATCGGGCTTATATATAATATTATGTAGCCAAAAACAATCTCAATTCTAAATAAACAAATGTATTCATTTCCCCCCAATTCTTGTTGTTTTCAATTGTCAAAAATTCATGGACAAATATTATAGGAAATTGTTATAAATCCATGTTTAAGAAATTGTTATTAATCCATGTACAAATATTATTTCTTTATTCTTCCCTAGTAAATTTTCATTTATTTTATCGTCCCTGATTTGAAATTTGGGCACTTAATTGTTGATGAATGCTCGAATAAAACACTTAGTATGTAGAAGAAAGTTGCATGGAGTAACTTTTATAACCGGGCAGACCGTAAAATTTGGGAAGAAAAGCTGGAAAACTAGCAGTATTGTTGAGGACTTTAGGTTAAATAGAATA